AAGATAAAATACTAATTATTTAAAGTGACTTTGTTGGAATGGTAGCATTTTTTGTTTGCTTTTATGTTGCTATTTCCATTTCCACTAAATAAATTCCTTCATAAGATAATTACAAAGCTGACAATATAAAACATGGTTTCTAATTTTTAATACAATATCAAAAATGTGTATAGTACAGAAATCGAAAAATTCGTAGCTCAATATCATGTAACAGATATCTCTGATAATTTTATAAAATAAATGAGAAAGTCATTCAGTCAATACTTCATTGCCATCAGCAGATCCCATTATACCTCTAGTAGGCTAACAGTCAGAAGCTGTTAATATGCATCAACCTCATCTGTCACAGTTGCTAAGCAGTGTTGTCTCATTTCCTGGGCCTTAATTCTCTTTATCTTGGCCTAAGGTACAGATTGGGGAACTTTTCATGAGCTATAAAAATTTGATATATTTCTTCCTGGTAATTAAGCACAAAATACCTAATAATAACTGTCTTGATTTCCACACGACTTTAAAGAGTATGGAAACATTGAGAGCCATCATCAGATGTCACACACAATGACATTTTATGCCTTTCACAGTTTAGTACTGTTAGCATGGATTTTTTAAGTTCTCATCTAATGGTTTCTAAAGCATTTATTTAAGAGCAATTATTTAAGAGCATTTGTATCCTTTATATTTTATGGTTATTGTTTCAGTCACATTTTTCTTTAAGTGCATTTCATTAACAAAATGAGGACATAATGAAAAATATGAATTAAAAGTATAAGGTGGGCAGATAAAATATAAAACCTTCAATCTAGAGCTAAGTGATTTGCCACACCTGAGAAATCCAGTAGAGTGATTAAAAGCCAGGTTTGGAGTCAGAAAGTTCAAGTCACACTTCAGCCATTGATTAGCTGGAATATCTTAAGAGTAAATCTTAAGTAAATCTTTTAAATCTCCCTGAGCCTGTTTGTTCATACAATAATTGACAAAAAGGCCAAGATCAATGATTGGGACAGGATAATAGCTAGTATGTAAATAGCATTTCATGTATACTAGGCATTGTTCTAACTCATATACTAATTTATTTTACTCTAACAACCTTATGAGGTATTACTCTTGCTTTACAGATGAGGAAAATAGGTAGAGTGGGTAAATACCTAAGGTCACACACTATACATAGCAGAGCAGTGTATACACAGTATTCAACCCAAGTAGCCTTCCTCAGAGTTTTTGTGTTGGCTTTACCCAACACTGCCTTATGGAGGAGGTGATTAATAAATAGAAGCAAAACAAGTAAAATCATTTCAAAAAGTCAGGTTCATTCTTTCTATCAAAATCAACCTAGCAGTTTGCCAAATATTTCAGTTCAGAGTTTATAAAAATCCCTTTTATATTCTATATTCAATTCCAACATATGGAAAACTTAAGAGAGAAACAGAATGAAAGTGATACAAATCAAAGTCATTGTGATAGCTTAAAATGAGAGCTGTACAGGCAACTAAGCAGAAATAAGTATTGAAGGCAGAAAGCCCTAACCATAAAAGGATCTGTATTACCACTGCACTCCCAGTAGCCAGTAAGTCGCTCACTACTTTTCAGTTCTCCAAATGTTGGGGTAGATGATAAACTTGCCAAAGAGTTTGAGCAGGTTCCTCTGACAGGAACTTCAAAGCTCACTCAGAAGGAGAAATCTTCAACTAGATCACTTTACCTTCACCTCCCTTGTGTGGTGTGCCCAGATGCACCTCTATCCCTGGCAACAATCAGATCACAATCCTCCTCAAGTCACCAGATCAGAGGTTCTTCTGCAGTCATCTGTTTTAGCCCCTGGACCAGGGACAACTCTCCTAACTGCAACTTACTCAGTCATAGCCCTCACTTCAGATTCCTGCTGCGATTTAACCTTTCATGGTCCTGAAAGCAGTTATTGAATCAAAAGACATTGGATCTAACATCAACATTGCCACTCATTACCAACCTAGTCTGAGATAAGTCCTAGAGCCTCCAGAGGTATCTATAAGGGGATTGAACTGAATCATCCCTAAAAACCTACTCCAAAAATAATTTAAGATTTTGCTGTAAACCAAGTAAAATTCAAATAACCATCTGCAGTTAATTGCTATTCCTCTTCTAAACCACACCATACCCTCTTTCTATCCTAGTGGGCCAAGGGGAATAGCCTAACCTCAAGAGTGGGAAACCAGGGAGCCAGAGTATATTATCTAAACCAAATGCACTTATGTTAAATGGCTGATGCTCCCAAGGCGCTTCTTTTACAGGTACACTGTTCCTTTCCAGGCAGGTCCTTAGCTTGGGAGGGGTGAGGGGATGAGGTAGTTAAAGGCAGATAGTCACAAAACACACATGGGAATAACTGTTAGAGACTCGGCCCACTGAAGGGTTCACAGCCTGGGGTGTCAACCCTGTTATGACAATGATGCCTAATACCAACAATAAAGCCTCTGAAGGAGACCCCTGCCCTTCAAGACATTCTTGTGATAGCCTGCACAGAGAGTGACAAGTTTTCTGCAGACAATAGCTAAGGGGCTAAGAACGGGCCCTCCTTCTCCCTTTCATGGATTTTCAGGAGCAATGCCTGCTGTGTGAGTCCACTGTCCTTCACTGTCCCCAGAAAAGGAGAACAAGCAGGGTCCTCATTTTACTTTTCCTTCTTAAAGCTGAAAAACATACCTTACATATTTCTGGCCCATATAGTAACTCACTTTATTGAACATTTTTTAAACCTCAGGGTTGAATTATAAATGTTCACTGTTTTTCTACATTTCAGAAATGATAGTATGGGGACAATATGGGATTTTCCATTTAGTTTCTATTCTCACCCTCCTCATCAAAAAGTAGGAGATAAGTCAAATGTCTTAAGATAGGCCTCATCCCAACTTCCCCTTTCTACTAAGTCAAACTTTATCTAAGATGTTGCTGTTCTCCCAGGCTTCTTATCACCAATTACAGCCTGCCTCTCTTCAGCATTTACATGTCTTGCCCTCCTTTCATTGGCACAGCTTGTATAGAGCAACACTATCTCATGATCTATCTCATCATCTGAGCTCCATGGCAAAAAGGATTCCCTGAATGAAGAATATTCAAGCAGAATAAGCCCCAGTGAGCTCTACTTCCATACCTCAAAACATGAAGTTAAGCTTGGCAAAAACATGAAAGAATCAGTTTTTTCTCCAAAAATATGGATCCAACAAGTAAGCTTGCTCATTTTATACTTAAAGGTCATTTTTATAGCTATCTGAATCAAAGCTCAAGTGGAAAGATCAGAATCAAGAACTAAGTTTCTACAACAAACAGAGAGGGACCCAAGCCAGACATATCCCTCTGTAAAACGCTTCTCTAGGCAAACCATAGACTTTCCTGTGTGGTTTTGGTCTGTTCACCTGGCTGGCCAAAGAATCACTGGAAAATAAGCAAAGGGAGCCATGAAAAATAGTCATGAATGAACCATTGTAGGCTGTCCCAGAGGCACCAAAAAAAAAAAAAAAAAAAAAAACCCACAAAAAAAAAACAGGAGAGAAATTCTTCAAGAAATACAGTAGTATTCAGCTAGAGTATTTGGTAAGCAAAGAAAGTCATAAATTTCCCTGGTACTCCAAAACATAAATCACTCTTGAGGCTTAATAACAGAAGCTGGAAATCTTTCTATAAAGGATCAAACAGTAAACATCTTAGATTTTTGTGAAATGATCGGCCTTTGTCACAACTATTTAACTCTACCATTTTAATGCAAAAGCAGCATAAATAATACATAAATGAATTGGCAACAGCTGTGTTCCAATAAACTTTACTTATAGAGTGTGAAAGTAGATTTCTCATAATTTTCATATATTATGAAATATTACCCCTCTACATTTTTTCAACTACTTAAAAATATTTTTTAAAAGATTGTTAGTTTGCAAGTCATAAAAAAAAAATCCTGGGACTATAGTTACCCAATCCCTGTTTTTATCATCTTTATTGTACTTGATTTGGCCTTTTTTTGAGAGTGCTGATCTTCATTTAGGCCACTGTCACTAACAAGACTCACAAAGGTACAATAGTTACGATTCCATCAACAACTGCTTGATGGATCAGAGTTGGGAATTCAAGAAAACTTTCACCCCAATTTCCTTCATTCTAATGATACTATGAGCAGCACCTACTCCTACTACCTTATTCTTTCCCACATCACCTTAAAATTAGTGGTAAACGCTAAAATGACTTCTGAGAAATCAACTACTTTCACAGGGTAACAAAATCATTTCCAGCCCATCTACATCTCTAGTTCTTAAAGATTCCATAAAAATGGAATCATTGGTTAAATCTCCTCAAATTACTCTATAAACCAGGGAACTTTGCACAAAGTACATACATAGTATAAAATACAGTAATTAGCTACTTTGGTATGAAAAATCTGACCCTCTCACTAACAATAGCTGAAAGAGAATTCATGAGAAACAAGAAATTTAGATTCCAATCCTAACTATACCGTTAACTACTTAGGTTAGTTATTTAGCAATAGATATTTAGCAACTCACTTAAGAAATTAAGAAGTAGATTTAGATTATTTCTATGGTCATGTCTAAGATGACTGCACTAAGCTACACAGAGGATAACTGATCTAGTCCAGTGAGAACTTCAGCAGTTTTTACTTTCCATTATCCTTCAGTTAAGTGGTAGATAATTATAATTTCCTCTTCTGTTTTTCCCATCTCTGGCCTTTAGAAGGACCATTTAAGGACCTCCTTGGTGGCACAAGGGGTTAAGCACAATACTATGAAGCAATTCGCAGCCTCTGCAGCACAAGTTCGATCCCCGGCAGGCCAGGGAGCAATCCACACGGTGCGGCAGACGTTCCTGTCTTGCCCGCTGCTCCCCTCAGCAGTGTACTTCGGTCATTCGGAACATTTAAAATATATTTCTGACCAGGGTAATTGCTGACTTCTTAGAAAGAGTCCAGTCTTAACACAGGTATAAGTGACTTCAAGAGAAAATGTAATGCAGTACAATACCTGGCTGATGTTTCTAGATATAGATGTCTGAACCTGCTCCAACCATAAAATCCAAGTTACAGAGCTTCCTTCCCCAAGTGTGGTCAGTCTACCCAAAAGGTTCAGATAGGCTTTTCTCTACTTCTTCAGAGTTGGCCTCTTCTAATAAAGGTTATGTTGAAATGAAATAACAATTAATGGAGACCCTGTGACCCTTGGGAAGACAAAGAATGCAGGTTATTCTAAATTAAGAGCAGGGAAGTCCTCAGGAGATTTTTGCTCTGGGCCCTTTGTCCTAATAGAAGCAGTAAGCACTGCTCCCCGTTTTATGACTTAGGAGAATGTAGTTTGAGAGGTATCTTCCAGGTGCAGCTTTATCAATGAACATATCCTCTCTGAGAATCTCATCTTTACTCTCAGAGTATGAGGTCACCTCCACCCTTGTGTCATGTAAGTCTCCCTCTCTCCTTTACTCCTTAAGTTTCTAAACAGAGAATAAATATCTCCAGTGCACGCCATAATTCTTTAGAATTTATAACCACCTGAATTTTCCATATATACATTATTAAATTTTGGCCTTTTTCTCCTACTAATCTGTCTGATATTAATTTGTTCCTCTGTCCAGTCTTAAACCAAGATGGGCTGAGCGAATGTTCCTGTGTCCTGACACATACAATAAAAACCCTCCTTTAGCTACCAGAGAATTGCACCCTCAAAGTTGCTTCATTTTTCCAGAATAGTCACAACCATGACCCACAAAAACCAAATAGCAATCTGACTCTACAATCCAAGCAAACCTGGATTTAGTTCCTTATATTGGTACTCACAAACTGAAAGTTATTCACCTCCAAGCCTCATTTTCCCCAGAATAGGGATGCACTTCTTGGTAGCAATGAAAATAATATATATAGAATGGTTTGTAAATATTGATGTCTTTGGGAAGATACGTGTAATACATTGTTAGGTTTGAAAAATAATTTATAAAGTAATAGTATCAATAATATATAGTATCTGAAGTTTTTTAAAGGAAATATAAGTTAAATAGGAAGGAAATTCTGGCACATGCTACAGTATGGGTGAATCTTGAGAACATTATGCTAAGAAAAATGAGCCAGTTGCTGAAAGACAACTGTTAGGTATGATCCCACCTGTATGAAGTACCTAGAGTCATCAAATTCATAGAAACAGAAAGTAGTAGGGTGGCTGCTAGAAGCTAGGGTGTAGGGAACCAGGGGACAGAGTTTTAGCAAGAAAAGAGAACTTAAGATTGACTGCACAATAATGTGAATGTACAGAAATGTATGCTTAAAAACTATTTAAGATAGTAAATTTCATGTTATGTCTATTTTACAATTAAAAATTTTTAATAAAGTTTAAAATGCTTTTTAAAAGCATACAATGGATATCTGGCTGTCGAATTACACACTTTGCAATGTTTTGTCACTTTGCAAAAGTAGAACAGGCTCGCCATGAAAAACATTCAATCCAGGGGGATAAAAGGCATTTTCGTTTTCTATGCGAATAAATGTAGAAGACTGAAAGCTGTGAAAGCTAGCAACTTAGCGTCTTGCAAGTCTTGAAATACAGAAATACATTAAGATTAAATACTGTAACTAAGAACTACACATATAATTAGGCTCAAAATAAAAAAATGATAAAGGATTAGTAGGAATGAAGCATATTTCTGATCTTAAATTGATAGACATCAACTTTAAATGGGCTTTGTATAGTTTATTTAAATTTTAATTTTAGATAAAAAGGCAATACAAACATAAAGAATAGAATTTTTTTTATAAATTCCACTGCCTAGCAATGCTTGTTGAGTGAATAAATGGACAAGTTTGAACATAAAGCAACAACTTGAATCTCAGAATACATACAAACCATTCAAAATAAATGATTATATTCTACAGCTCACCAGCTGGTGGCAGCAGCCCTAAAACACAAGAACCCTAACTAGGAAAGAAAGATCACTGGGGAAACTTTAAAATACTTAAGAGGGTGCCAGATTTGTAACAACTTTCCAAAAAATTATGGACACTGTCCTTTAAAAAGGTTCATTGACTGTTATAAACGAACCATAAAAAATGTACTAGGTGAGAAAATAACTGAAATTAGAACACTTTTGGATCCTAGCTTAGGCAATAGTGTCACAGACATGAATCACAGGTAAGAAGTTGCCCTAAGGTTCACATGCTATTAGGGTGACAAAATCTTGTAAATGTTAAATGTCAGGAGTTAGAATTATTTATCATTATTAATGAAATTGCTAACATTGACTTCTTTCATTTTTAATAAATAAAACATCTCCAAAACATTTATATATATATGATTATGTATTCATGCTTACAAACGAAATGTACCAGCTTTTTGAATATGTTAAATTTCTAATCATAGATCAAAGAATAACAAATATTTGCCTTTTAATCAAGTCATTCTTTATATAGTATTCTGTCTTCTCAATTTAATTCAGATTTTTTTCCCAAGACTTATTTTTTGTTGTTGGGGTTTGGTGGGGTTTTTTTTTTTTTTTTTTTTGGTATTTTATTTTTTTTAGCAGAAACATGCCCTACATACTTTTCATAAGCACAGTTTATTTTTAAATTGATGCCTGGGAATTCAGCATACTATATCCTAAAACAGCACTCCATGCCAGTCATTGTTTCCATAGTCCATCAGTACTGAGGCAGGAAGCGTCACATGCAAAGAAGTAACTGACTCTCATGAGGCCTATAGGTAACATCCTTTTGCATTTCATACAAATCTGACATACAAAAATAAACATGAAAATGGAAATGTTTTTATATTAATGTGAACAATCAATGTAAAAACAGAGAGGAAAACAGGACTCCTTAAGACCCATTATCACAGGAGATAACAGAAGCTGAAATGGGTTGAAACTGGAGCCAGATTTAGGATCAATGGCTTTCAGATTTTCCTGCTCCTAACAATGTTCAAATGCTAGATTTTACAGTTACAAACTATGAATTACTAGCTTCAAAAATCTATCCTCATAATAGTCCATAAGTTTATGATAACCAAATGAAAAGGGAAATTTTAAAAAATTTATTTCGTCAACACTATCATGTATTAACAAACACATCCCATTTCAGTGAAATTAGATTCAAGAGATCTATGTTTTGGCATTTCATTGAGAATGTAAAAGATTCTAGGAATGTCGGTGTGCTCCTCTAAGGAAAAATAAAAGTATACCTTGAAAACAGATGCTAGTAACAATGAAAAAAAATAGAAAAAAATAGAGGTTAGTGAACTTCCAGGCATTATACAGTAGCAGTACACTAAATACAGCCATGTTCCAAAAATATCTAGGGAAATCAATATATAAAACACATTAGGTTTTGTTCAACAGGCCCAAAATGGAGTACTTACTTCATGTTAAGTCCCCATCCACACTAAATACCTATAGTAATTTCAACTTTTCCTAAAGTGTAACCCCAAACCAATCAATCTGGAATTTTTTAACCAGCAGAAGTGAGGTCATCTGCATCATGACCCCTGCTTTCCTGAAGAAAGGTGGCTTTACCTGAAATAATCTTTTCTTTTGCTAATAACCTTGTCCCACTGTCTTTCAGGATAAACACCTTCCATTTTATGTAATCTCTGGCAGTATCTATATGGGATGCTGCCCTATTCATGAATCATTTAATAAAGTCAATTAGATCTCTAAAATGTTTTAAATTTTCACATACTATCTAAAATACTCTTAATTTTACTTGAATCAGGCCTTTATAAAAATACAGATTAAAGTGATATATATATGTATTTTTTTTTTCAACCAAAAAAAGTCTAAGAAATATAACAGGGTGGTCCTCAGGGAAAGGGGAGGTTCCAGGTTCCTTGTCCCACCCAAGGGAGGGTGGAGCTGAGCAGGGAGGAGAGGAAGCTGGAGAGGAGACTGGGGAAGGAAGGGAGCAGGGTAGAGAGCCAGAAGGAGACCTGGAGGAGGCACATGGAACCAAGAGACATGTGAAGAAGCTGCACCTGTTTTTCGGTCCTGGACTGGTTGAAACAGATGTGGGTGAGAGACCCAAGGGGAGGTTAACAATGGCAGCTTTTATCTTGATTTTGATTTTGCTCTTTTCCTCCCAGACTTGTCTGACCCTGTTCTATGGGTCCCCGCCAGAAGGTGCTTTAGACTTGTGGCAGGCTTTCCAGCCTTGCTTTGGGCCATCCACACTAACTATATTCTTTCTCTTTCTGTATTGCACACTAATTGTACTAAAGTTTCTTTCCATTAAAGGTCTACATGAAAAAAAAAAAATAAAAAAATAAAGGTCTATATGTTTTGTCTTGATTTGGCAGATGACAGAACCTATTTAGAGCAGACAGGTTTGGGGTTTCTAAGGTGCCCCTCTCCCTGCACTGTAACAGAAAGACAAGTCACCTTTATAATTGCTTATTGTAACACACTTTTTAAAAACAAGATGTTACACTAAAGAACTTATCTATGAAGAATTACAAGATTAAAAAAGAAACCAAGTAAATAGATGAACTAAAATTAAACAAAAATAAACTTTTAGACTGTTAATACAATTAGTGGTTAGCAGAAGGGAATGGGGAAGGGGAAGTTGGATAAAAAGTGAATCATATATTAAAGGACAGAATTGGACTTTTAGGGATGAATTTAATGTAGTTATATATACATGTTGACTGTCATTGTTACACATCTGAAACTTAAATAATACGATAATGCAAGATTATTTCAATAATCAAAAAATCTTTAAATGATAAAAGTTCTAGGATACATACTGTTGTGGGGAAATCAGGGTGATACCAAAGGCATAGGGATGAAAGAATGCACCAGAGACAGAGAGGAGAACGAACAGGTGGATTTATTGAAATACACTGCTACTTTGAGGCTTTCTTTTATCTCTGTTTTTGCAGTCTTTCTAACTTGGGGCACCAGTTTACATCAATTATCTGCCTAGATGTCTGCTCTCTGGTACTGGCGTTTGACACAGAAACATGTTCTGGCCACTGCTTCTGCATTCCTGGAACTGGGCTGGTTCTTCTGTTCCATTTTATGGCCTTGTCCCCAAGGCAGCCTTATCTATTCCTTTATCTATTCCAGCCTCCCAAACCTGCCTGCTGGGTCAGGAGTGGGGGCACAGTTTTTAACCTAATTTGTAACCAATTGTACCTTGACAGATACCAAAAATAGAATAAAAAATAAAAGCTCCTAGACATCCTTATTAGTAAACACAAATATAAAATAAGCATTAAAAATAAGTTTTACATCTATAATCCAGTCTATTTTCAAATCCTCATCAACTTCAATAGAATCAATGCCTATTCAGAGAGAGTTTTCTAAAAGGTGATTAAAAAGTATTTAAGTCATTTGGGGGGCTAGTTCTGTGATAACCTCTCCATTTTTTTCCCTGAGTAAAGAACAAGAACTTGGTTTCACAAGTCCCCAGATCCACTCAAAAAAATTAGAATAAAGTCTGAGGGAAGCAGGGAGCTTTTGAACTTGGAGGCAATGTCTACAGACTGAAGAATTCTTTCTTGTTACTTCATTTCATACTATACTGTAAACATATTTGTATGAATTGACCAAAAAATAACTAGAAATTATATTATCCCAGAAATGCTTGTTTTGCATTTTCAACAAAAGAAAAGGTTTTCAAAGAAAAAGACAAAAAAAACTAAGATTTGTTTAGTACTTTAACACTTCAGTGTTAGGGACACTGAAACACTATCATAGAAACTGTAATATATTAACACAATCATTTTCTCCAATTTTGCCATAAAGTTACAATGGACTCTGTTAAAGAGCATTAAAAAGAGTCCATCAAGAGCTCTAAATTATTAAAATGCCTATTGTGCCAGAGTTCGTCTCAATATACCTAACATATATTCTGAATTAAGAGATATAACGAGCTAAATATTTCATTCTTTCTCTCCAGAGAGCATGGGCAACATGATGTAATTGTAAAACTTGAGCCAAATGGAGAAGACAAAAAACAAGGTTAAAGAGCCCATAAGCTATGTTCCTAGACCTCTGATTATCATTATCCAAGAAATCATTTTCAGGATATTG